TATAAAGCCCGCGAGACTGGTCTTCTCGCGTGATCCCACGAAATTTAGCGCCCGCGGCGCGCCGCATTATTGCCCCCTGCGATCCGGGGCAATTTGCCGCAACACCGCCGCCGCCGCCGCCGCCGCCGCCATCGCCGCCCCGCTTAAAACTACGAGAACGACGGATTCGCGTCCGAACGATTCTCCATTCCCGAGCTGCAGAAGTTTCCTAATAACGCGGGCGAGCCGGCGAGCTGCGACGCCGCAGATCCCCGACGGATCTGATAAGGGCTCCATTGCGGGAGGAGCGGGGGTAGAAGGGAGGGGAGGATTCCGTCCGTAATTTATCTCGGCTGCGCAAAGTGTGTCTTGCGACGCGCGCGCGCGCGCGAGCGGGCAATAATGTTTCGTTATTACGATGCGCCGCCGCGATTCCCCGCGTCCGGTGTATATCTGGCCGTTATCAAACCGCCGGGGCCATTTGTCCGTCTCTCTCCCTCCCTCTCTCTCTCTCTCTCTCGCTCTCGCGCGCGCGCGGCTCTATCTAAACGTCTAATTAATAATAATTTAATTACACATTATGCCCGTTCGGCTCGGGCGTCAGAGGAGCGTCGAGCTGGATACGAGGGAGTCGAGTCGGATTAATGATTTGTAAGATTTCATTCTTCCGTAATTTATGTGCGAAGGGAAACTAATTAAGGGAGAATTCTATCTATACATCAGCGGACTGCGCTCCTCGATTAATTGTATAAGCAGCGAATCCTCTTCTCTCTTTCTTCTCCCTCCCTCCCTCCCTCTCTCTCTCTCTCTCTCTCTCTTTCTTGCTGCCTCCTTCACGCTGCCTCGTTACCTCGTCATTTTTGCAAATTTGATCCGCCGTCATGTCGGCGGATAACGCGCGCTCGCCTTTGGAGAATCGCCGAAAAATAATACACTAAGTAGGGAAACGCGACGCGGCGCAGCTATATTGAAAGCTGTAATAGAGAGGGCGGCTCTCGCAACAATCGATAGAGCAGTGTCCTATCCTGCATCTCGCGGCAGGCCGCTTATCAGGCCCAAATTGGCGCCTTCTTTGCCATGCTAATGCTGCCGGGCAGCTCGATACTCGAGAAATCGATATGTACGCGCGGTAACAGGGACGCAGCCTCCCGCTAGGCGAGCGGCTCTGCGGACTTCGCTCGACGGGCGACACGCGACGTCGTCGTCTCCGTTGGCGACAAATCCGGGGAAGGAGGCGGCTGTTCTGCATATTCGTCCGAGCTAGAAAAGCCTCGCGCGGATGCGCCGTAATTGACGTTTCCCAGGCGCATCGGGAGCGCGGCGCAAATTATCGCGGGGCTGAATTCAAGAACGAGTGAATTCTAGAAGCGTGCTTAGAATCGGCGAGAAATCAGTCAACTCGGACGTGAAGGTGTAAATTATGCAAATTGATCCGCTTCTGGCGGAGAATGCGAGGTCGCGTGTCGCGCGACAGAAAATCGCTCTCGGAGAATCGCGCGAGAACGCGAGTCCGTGGAGAGAAACATTGATTTGGAAAGGCGATTAATACAAATCGTCCGGCATCGACATCCGGATGGAAATGAAGATGAAGTCGCACGGACATACACACACACGTGCGCGCACATTAAGAGAGTTTAAGGAGTTTCCGTGACGACGGCAGCGCGAATTCGCGCGAGTCGACTCGGTGAATGCGCTCCTGGAGAAGGATGCATCACCTCGTTCCACGAGAGCGAGCTGCATCCTCCCGACGAATGAGAGTAGCCGCTTACGAATTAGCGAGCGCAGCAAGTCCCGGCTAACTTACAGGGTGTACCTAAGCGGAGGCCTTAGGGATACTAACGAGCGCGTGGACGCTCGTTAAGGCCGGAGAATGCGGGGTAGCCGGCGTTAACGAAATTTACGAAGCCGACCGGCTGTAACGAGTTCGAGGCCGGGGAAGAGTACATGTTGCAAGCGAGGAAGGATATCGCGATAGTCGACAGAGCAAGAGAGAGAGAGAGAGAGAGAGAGAGAGAGAGAGAGAGCAAGAGAGGGAAAGAGAAAGAGAGAGAGAGAGAGAGGCTCTTAATCCCGCGATCGCGTCTGTTTGACCGTCGCCGCGCTCTTTTTGCCGCCTCATAACGTCCTCTTCCGCTGAAAAAGAACTACCCTTCGCATTTTTCCCTTATCCTACGCGAGCCTCATCCCTCTTGGTCGATCTCGTCGAAGACGAGACGACGTTACATGCGTCGCAAGCGGTTGCGCGATTTCCCGCGAAGAGGAGGAAGAAGATGCGGGAGAACGAGAGACGGAGAACAGCCGCCTACGAAGACGAAGACGAGAGGACGAAGACGCGTGGCGAAATTCGCCCCGTGCGCGAATTTCACCTTTCGTACACGCGAGTTACCGCGCCGCGCGCAAAGAGGAGCGATTCGCGCGTGTCGCGAGCCGAAGGGTCTATTTCGAGCGGACGCGGACGAGGAGCGAGCAACGCCGCGCGCAAGACAACGCGCGAACGAACGTATCTCATTCCGTGACGAGAATAACTGCAATTTCATTGTAGTAACTAACACGAACGGTGTGTAATGTAACGTGAGTGAATAATTGGACGGGGAAGAATTTGCAAACTTCGCGAAGGCACACGGCTCGGCTTCTCATTCGCCGGGTTCCTCGCCGGCTGTCGGATTTTCGCGCTCAAGTTTACGAGGTGTTAACACTGACAATGCGTCATTACGGTGGCCGAGCTTTGATGACTCCTCTGCGAGTGTGCGTGTGCGTCGGCTTGTACGTGTGTCTGTTTGAAATGTCAATTGAAAAAGCACACACGCTCGAGCCGCAAGCCGCGGCCGGCAACTCCGGTTCTCATCGGAGTAACAGAATTCACGCGGGTTATATGTTGAAACCCCCCCCCCCCTTCTCTCTCTTTCGCCACCCTTTTAGTACACCTCTCTCGCCGCTGAATACTGACTGAAGTCTCGAGACTGCACGGATCGCGCCAAGAGAGAGAGAGAGAGATAGAGAGAGAGAGAGAGAGAGAGAGAGAGAGAGAGAGAGAGAGAGAGAGAGAGAGAGAGAGAGAGAGAGAGAGAAACAAAGAGAGGCGGAAATTCTGACGTGGGACGTACGCGGAAGAAAATATCATTCTACTGTGGAGAAAAGCGACTAGTTTATCTCTTTCGCTTCTTAAATGACGGCTATCTTGAGAGATTCTTCCCTGATAATAATCATGAAGCATACTCAGATTCGGGAGAAGCCTCGCATTATCGTGTATTTAAAAGAAGAATCATTTTCTTCTTCTCGAAAATATTAGAAAGCTCTGTACAGGAAGTAAGCTGAATATTTTACTTGTGCCGGTATTTTCTCTTCATTTTGATACTTTTCGGTAAAGTAAAAATTTCATGTTTGTGATGAACTCGTGTATGAGACAGATTTGCGAATAAGCAAGTGCCATGAAATGCTTCAAACAGATCACTCGAGAGTTCGTAAGATACGTAAAAAGATCGGTGCAACACGTGTGCTTCCCGATGTAAAAAAAAAAAAAAAAAGATCTAAGTAAAGAGAAACAAATGGTTTGCAGAAACATTAATTACATATTTTCTCTGCCCTTCAAATCGGCATCTACCACCGTCTATCTGCATCCCATCTCACGCGGCTCACGCGATCGCTAATTACTCGGGAATCCGTATTACGTTCGGGATGACCCAGTGGTTGCCGACGGCCTCTTTATCGGCCGGCACTTCGTCTTCGCTCTCGCAGCGAACGAAGTACGAAGATCGAGCTAATAATGAGCTTCAACGCGATCGCCACCCCCGGGAGTCCCACGTTGACGCGAGCTCCTCGCGCTGGTCGGGCGAAAAATGAATACATGATTCACGAGCAGCGCGCACGCCAACCTCGGCGGAGGAGCGCAGGTATCGCGCGTTGGATCGATAGACGATTAATTCCATCTCAGCGCCGATGATGATTCGCGGTCTTCATCCTCTTTGCATATTTTCATGTCACGCGAGCTTCCCCCCTTCGATCGCTCTCGTTTAGTTCCTTCCCCCTCCCCCCGTAATTATGAGGTAAAGAGAGCCTCATTATAGACACGTCCAAGTCGCCGAGTCTGCGATCGCGCGCAACTTCCAGCACGTAGAGAGATCAATACTACTCTCTCTTTCTCTGTCGGCCGACGTCGTCCTGTGCGCAAAAACCAACCCCCAACTCGCGCGCACCCCTCGCGTCGGATCAACGGACGGAACGTTTCGAAACCGAAAGTCGGGAAATTCGCGAGAACGAGAAGTAAGAGGAGTCTAGACGACGCAAAAGCGCGAATACAAAGGAGATGAGAGACCAATCAAGACTTGGGTCTTGATCGGACTCCACAGCGTGTGACGAGCGGACGAGCGACTTTTTCTCGGCTCCCAATCGAGGAAGTTGAAGATGCAAAGAGGCCATTCCAGTTAACTGGAGGCTGAGAGCGCGTATGAGCGGACGGTGCGGATCGAAGAGAACGCATGCGAAGCAGACGGAATGAAGAAGACAACGAGAGAGGAACAACCGCCGACTACGAAGGGAAACGAGAAGGAGAGCACGAAACAGAACCTGACGACGACGACGACGACGACAACGACGACGACGGTGGGTGCTGAGGTGGGGATAAAAGCGAGAGGGACAGACACCGGCAATAAAACGACCGAGCGAGTGAGCAGGACGGAGAGGTACCGACGCGGCATAGGCCGCGCGCAGCTGGATCACCTATGGACAGAGACAGGACTCGCGCGCGCGGAAGAAACACGGAGTACACGCCGAGAGACGGAATAAAGTCCGCGCGGAAGAGAGGGAGACGCGACTCTGCAGCAGCCACCTCGGCGGGCTCTATATCCAACAAGCTCCTCGCTGTTGTAGGGGCGGAAGGAGGGCTGGTCAGGGGAGTCAGTGGAACCCTCGACAGGGGGTGACGAGGAGGCGAGGGGAGACCATATCTCCGGGCGAGCGACAGAGACGGATATAGCCGGCGCGCGGAATTGGTAGGGTGAGGCAGAAGAGTGGAGGCAGCAGAAGTGGGACATGGCGAGCACCTATGAGGTGAACCGCCGAGACACCGGCACCGCGTAGTGGGGCGAGCCAGGGCGTTCCGGAATGGCGAGTTCGCGCGTCGGACACCAGATGTCGAGCGGACTCACCCCACGGCCGCGTCCAGGTCTCCGCGGGGTCAACGTGGAGGCGTGCACGCGCACCGGTCTACACCCAGAAACGCCCATCGCGAGCCCTCCCGCCGCTTCCTCGCCGCAGACGTTCCGCGGCAAGCAACTGGACAACCAGCCCGGTCTGGTTTCACGGCGTCGCACACCACGGCTCCGTCGAGAAAGACCCGCGTCTCCACCAGCAGACCCGCGAAAGGTATTTCCACGTTCCACACGTCGGTGCGTGTCACGAGCCGCCGCGACCTTCGCTCACCGTCGTCGCGCCGCTTCGCCGTCCGGACCACGCCAGACGGACACCACAAGTGGCCTCCGCGTCCAACGGAGACACACCTCGCTCTAGCGCGCTCGTAGCGCTCGTAGCGCTGTGTCGAGGACGGCAGGGAACTCCCGCTGCTGCATGGCTCTCCCGAGAAACGTCCGACCGGTTGGGAATCGGGGAATATGTGAGAGTGCCAGTTAGGATAGTACAGCGAAAGCCGTACGAGAAGATACGGGCTCTATGTTGGGTGATGGCAGGACTCCGCCAACCAAGACCCATGGGATTAAGGATTCGCCGCTCGTTCAATGAGTGCCGGACCCGTTCGAGGCAGTTTGTGGTGTAATATCACCGAGACACAGGACAACGAGAGAGAGGACGGCCAACGGGGGGTGGCCATGAGAGTGGAACGGATCGTGTCGATATCGCTCGCGAGCAGTCCGCGGAAACTGTCCGTCGGGATGAAGCAGGGTGAGAGCGCGGGGCTTAGCCGTTAGCAACGGAGAGTTGAAAGTGCGGAGTTACGAGAGAGAAGTAAGTCGAGTAAAGGATTCCACACGGACTCGTCGCGCTACAACTTCCCTGTCCGCAAACATGTACATGAAGAGGAGATCGTGAGAGAGCGTGTCCCGAGCAGCTCGTGACGAAAGACACAGATCCGAGGATGACGTCGGGCAGTGCTGCGCGGGGCGTTTCCGTAAGGTAGAAGACGTGCGAGACGATGTAAGAACTTTGAGGGAAGAGTCGCAATTCGGAGCAGGCGTACCAGGCGGGGGGGAGAGGGCATCATGAGATTCCCGCGGTCCGCGGGAATATCGTCGTTGTGATCGCGCGTCGCGTCGCGTCGGGTCGGGAACAGCTCTCTGCTTGATCCGCGTGCGGCGGGTGTTACCGCTCCGAAGAAGATGTCGGGCACACCTCCGGAGCCGGTGAGTCTGGACTCTGACTTGCCGGAGGCCAGATCGAGCCATCTGGCTGGGTCGCGATTGGAGCGGGACGCGGAGGACGCGGAGAAACGCGATGAAACGCGAGCGGGGGCCGAGTGCAACGCCGACAGCGACTGCGAGAGCGACACGAGCGAGGTGCTGAGCGTCGGTAGCGAGCCAACGCCGAGCAGCGTGGTTGGGGTGCGCGTATGCGGCTCCGTCAGGTACGACCGGGAGTCCGCGAGCAGCCGAGGTGAGTTTCGCGATGAGGAGAACACGAGAACATCGGCGACGCCGTCGCCGTCCAGCTCCACCAGCTGCAACGACCTCTACTACCAGCGTGCAGCCGGCAATCACGTACCGGCACCGAGTCCACCCGGCTACAGCCAACCACCGTCGTCCCCTACGGCGTCTTCCGTCAGATCCCCAGCTTCCTCATCGGCCACTGCCTCGTCTCCGGGTCGACCGGAAGCCACCCAAGAGGCTATCGTACCCAGGTACCAATCCAGTCATCAGCACCTACTCCCTCGATACTCCTCCGGCAGGGAAGTCGACATTTCCGACTATCCGGCGCGCGTGCAACACGGTCTGAGCCACGAGATCGTTTACCCGACCGTCGAGAGGCTGCACCGTACACCCATCAGCGTACCCCTAGTGACGAGACTCTCGTTGTCGCCGCCGTCGGCCATGACGGTCACCGGGCTCCAGGCGACGACGCCCGTTCTCCATCCCGCCGCATGCAGGGACCCGCGGGACAGCACCACCTCGTTGATGCCGCACCACAGCAGCCAACACCTGCACCATGCGAACGCCCACACCACGCATCTGCACCAGGGCTCGCAGGTGCAGCATGTGCCGGCCAATTCGGTGCACCAGCATCGGCTGTCGGTCAGCAAGCTGTTGCAACGGGAGCCCGGCAGCCCGGCGTCACCCGGCGGCACCGGGAGGGAGGAGAACGGACGCACCTTGGCCGCCGCGAACGGCCTGCAGAACAGCATCGGCCACAACAACGCCAATCATCATCACCACCACCACCACCACCATCACCACAACCACCACAATCACCACAACAACAACAACAACAACAACAACAACAATAATCTGCAGCACCAGGCGGGTCTCAAGTTCAGTATAGACAATATTCTCAAGGCGGATTTCGGCCGGAGGATCACGGACCCAATCTCCCTGAAGAAATCGCGCCCCAAGAAGGTGGCCTCGCGGCCGATCGACCTGACCAAGGACTTCCTCGAATCGTCCTCCGACACTTCCGAGAGGAACGGCACGGAAACGACGACGACGACGACGACGACGACGACCGCGACGACCAACGCGTCTCCCACCGGCGTTTCGGCCGGAAACCCGCCGCCCAACCCTACCGGATCGACCGGTACCGACCCTGGCAAGATGTTGTGGCCGGCGTGGGTCTACTGCACCAGATACTCGGACAGGCCCTCCTCGGGTGAGTTATCTCTGAGCACCAGAAATACCACTGAGCGACTGAGCGCGATTTTCGTACCAACAACCGCGCGCTCGGACGCGCGCAGCTCGCCGATCCGCTCTGCCCTGAGCCCTTGAGCTCTGAGAGTCGAACGACGTCTTTTCGTCTTGGACACGACGATACAATTCTTCGGCGACCTGAGCCGGAGCCCCCCGTGTACGACGGGCCGACGAACCGTCGTACACATCATCACGTCGTTGCTCGGGATGATTCACGTCGCCGTTGAAAAGCACGTTGCGAACAACAGCCTCGTGAGAATCACCCGGCTGTTCCTGCCTCTTCCTTCTCCCCGCGCGGGAATATATTAATGCGAAAATATAACGGGCCGGAAATGGCGGCATAATAACGCGATTAATCAAAATTCGTTGCCGAGCGTGCACGTGCAACGCGCTCGCGCAAGACTTGGAACGCGATCGGGCGAGATTGCAGTGTTTAATCGATTAATTCGGCGAAATATCACGGAACGCTTCAAGTGGGAAATCGAGGTTTCTCTCTTCTCTCTCTTTCTCCCTGCTCTCTCTCTCTCTCTCTCTCTCTCTCTTCCCTTCTCCTGCGCGCATTCATTGTCGGCGAGCGCGATTGCTCAATAACCGCCGATAGAACCTCTCATTAGGCGCGTACGTATAATGGCTTTAAATACCGAATGTATATAAATTTCTTAGTCAGACGAGAAATATTCACAGCGCCGGGAGAAAATGTTTCTCGCCATTGTGCGAGGGAACGTTTGTTAAACGGCCGCAATTTACTACTGTCACGATTGATGATATGTGCGTGATCCGCGCGCACGTGTGTGTGTGTGTATGTACAACACACACGCATTCGTGGAATCAGAGGTGCGCAAGGAGGGCGAGGGGTGGAGGGGAAGGGCGAATGGTTGCCACGTTTTTTAGATAATAATTAATTAGTGAAACGCGCCGTGTTGGCGTTCGCCGCAACACTTGCGCGCTTTGATAGGCGGACGCGACCGCAACTGTACAAATATATAGGGTGTCCCATTTTAAAGGACTCACTCAAATATCTCAGAAACACTGCGTTAAATCGAAAAATTTTGCTTAAGACAAAAGTTGTTTAGCTCGAAGGGGGACATAGAACAGCGGTAGCATTTTGTTTATAGATGACTCCATTTTCGAGATATTTACTGATTATCAATTTTCTTAAATGGAAATCCCAGCTCTTTATTATATCAATTTTCTCTTTCTCTACCAATTAATTTGAACAACTATTGTCTGAAACATTTTTTTATTTGCTTAATATATTTTGAGATATTTAAGGAAAACTTGGTAACTTTTCCAACATTTACCTTACGATATCTCGCTAACTATTCGTCGAAAGAAAAAATAATATTAGACTTTTTTTACTTTATTTACTATCAAGAATATACTACTATGATAGTGCCCTAACTTTTATTAATTCAATAATTTTGAAATTTCCAAAGGTCGATAAGTTAATAAAAGTTAGGACACTGTTATAGTAATATATTCTTGATAGTAGACAAGGTAAAAAAGTCTGATACTATTTTTCCTTTCGACGAATAGTTAGTGAGACATCTTAAGGTAAATATACCAAGAAAGTTACCAAGTTTTCCTTAAATATCTCAAGATATATTAAGCAAATAAAAAAACGTTTCAGACAAAAGTTATTTAAATTAATTGGTAGAAAAAGATGATGTGATAAAAAGCTGGGATTTCCATTTAAGAAAATTGATAATCAGTGAATATCTCGAAAGTGGCGCCATCTATAAACAAAATGCTATCGCTGTCCTATGTCCCCCTACGAAGCTAAACAACTTTTGTCTTAAGCAAAATTTCTCGATTTAACGCAGTGTTTCTGAAATATTTGCGCGGGTCCTTTAAAATGGGACACCCTGTATATTGTATAATTGTGCCACCGGGAGGCGCGGGAGAATAATCCCGCGATTCGTTCTAGCGAAATGTTCTCTCCCACAGGGCGTTTCACGTAAATACGGAACACTTTGAACTACGGACAGTCATGCGAGATGTCACGCGAGAATGATTCGCGGCTGTGCGCGGATTTTGCACGACTTGAGAGTGATCAGGGTGTGCATCTGTCAACAGAACATACAATTCTCTCCTTCCGGTTTTCTCGCCGAAACCGGCAGGCCGGAGAATGCGCAAACGCGAACGCGAACGCGAACGGATTACGCGACACGCTGCAGCAGCTCGCGTAATTTCGTTATCGATTCGGCCGGTTATCAATATCGTTACTCCGCGCGGACGGAAGAAGCGTACGACGGTGTGATCGCTGGGGTTTCTGCAGCCTCGCGCAGATAGATGATCCTTTCAAGTGACACAGGAAAACGTGTAATTACTTCACTTCCCGCACGAGTGCCAGCTTGATGAATGATAGAAAACGTTTCTTCGTGTCGTTCATATCTGATATACGCTTATTGTCAGGAAACAATAGTTAAGCAGTCGGAGAAATAGCCGCTCTCTGCCTCATAAATCAAGCACGGCCATTTCTCACCCGGGTACTCGAGCAACAATTTTCTAGGCGGATTCAATGCATCAATGCGTAGCGTATTGCGCAAAAAGCGAGAGAAGACAAGGAGGTGAAGGAAAAAAAGGACAGCAGAATTCGACGAATAAATTTATACAAATTGAAGTGCATTCGTCTTCCTTCTCTCTCTTTCGCGAGAGCGCGCGCGCGCGCACGCGCGCGCTTTGCGGCGGACTGCGCGTTTCACACTGCCGCCGCGACGATTTATTCATCGAAGCCACAAATTGTTGCGCAAACAAGATTAAGAGCGCGATCACGCGAGAAAATGTACGCTACGAGATTGCTGCAAATTCGCGGCGTTTGGCGGCCACCGTCGCGCCCGATACACACACCTGCATCTAACGCCGTACGTTGAACGTTCGGTATATCACGAGTATACATAATATATTTCATGATGTACGTGTTCATGATACGCCGCGTTTAATGTGTATCGCCAGGGGTCAATAAGTTTCCGCGGCAACATGTATGTATATACATTCTTCTAAAATATATCTCCGCGCACGCTGTAATTAATGCGTTCCGGCTAATAGCGCTTTCTCCAACGAGAACCGCTCGCCGGCCGTCCTCTCCCGCGCTCTCCTCTCATCGCGTGAACCTTCGTAATCGTAATAACATCGGCCACGACGCCACGGCGCACCGATCATTACGGCAAACACCATGACGAATAGATAAATATTACGGCGGGAGAGATGTTATTGGATCAGCCATTCCTATTATGTCTTTACGAGGCGTAATTTCGCGACGCGCAAGGCTGATAAGCGCGCGCGGCGCGACCGAGCGGTTAACACGACGACTATAAAATCTAATTACCGTAATTGAACGGTGCCGGTCCCGCGTGGCGAGTTTTCATTGATATCATGGTAAACGTATTTCCAGCGGTATTCTTTTCGCGCGTTCTCGCGTGCGTTAATATCCGCAAATAAGCGCGATATCGTCGTTACCAGCCAGTTATTTCCCGGCTGGTATGTGCGAGGGCGACGCGCGCGTATCGCGACGACGAGGGAGAAGGACGAGCGCGAATCTAATCAGTAACGTATTGCCGGACACACGCGCTCGCGAGCTTTACGAGACTTTCACGCTCGCGGTAATTGGATACAGTTGAGGGGGCCGAGTTCCTCTCTCATTATTGGCTACTTATCGGCGACCGTGTACGCGATACCGCGAGTCCTCCTCCCCCTGCCTCACTCTCTCTCTCTCTCTCTCTCTCTCTCTGCTCTCTCTCTCACTCTCTCTCTCTCTCTCTCTCTCTCTCTCTCTCTCTCTCTGTCTCTCACTCATGTGAGCCCGGCGCCCGACTCGCTCGCTCGCGTGTGCGAAGCGCAGCAATGTAACGGATAAGTAACGCGTCCGAGGAGGCGTCGGCGATATTTGAGCAACGTTCCCTCATGCACGCTCGTTTCTACGCGAGCCGCAAATCAAGCGGACGGCGAAATTGTACATGCGATCGATCACGGTGCGCGCGGCGCTCCGCGATAAGATTTCAGCTCGACTCGTGAACCCCGCCTTCTTTATTGTCGCGCCGCGGCAACCTGCCGCGGAATCGCGTAATTGATTACGGGGAAGAGAGAGAGAGAGAGAGCGCGCGTTCTATCGCGAGTAGGCGCTATCAACGGCTTGTCAAGTGTCAGAAACGGTCAGAAAGTGCTGGCTGGAACGAGGCGACGCGCGCGAAAAAGTCACGCTTCGCATCGATCCAGCGGCCTGTTACCGTTCCGCGGGGGAAAATCGTAGCGCGTAATCGTAACGTGGGAAAGCGCGCGATGGCGATCGATCGATCGATCGATCGATCGAGCGAGCGAGCGAGCGATCGAGCGAGCGAGCGAACGAGCGCGTTTACGCTCATCATTTGTCTCCTCACGGGCGCGGGGGAGGGGAGGGGGGCAGGCGGATGCACGGGGAATGCACGGGCAATGATAAGAGACGATATTAATAAAGCAAACAGAAACGCTCGGCTCGGAATATATCGCGGGCGATTTTGCCCGCGATATGTTAAACGGTGATCGCGCGCGGCAGCGCGCGCAATACCGACTGATACATTTCCATCGTCAGTCTCGGAGCCGCGACGGACGGGGAGGGAGGAAGAGGAGAGAGGTGCAATAAAGCCGGTGCGGTATCGCGCGCTAAAATCCATTTACGGAAAGTTATGGCTAATTAGTTTCCTCGGGGCCCGCGTGCGACGCGCACGGGCGATTTCCCGTTAACGAGGCTCGGATCGGTGCCACACACGCGCTCGCTCACGCACGCACTTACGCACTTACGCACACCACACGTTGGGCAAGACCCGCGTCCTCGTATTTGCGCGAGTGAGCGTGGGTGAGAATTTGAAAAATCCGCATTCACCGGCACGTTTCACATCGGCGGCCGGACGCGAGCGCTAAGCTCGTTACGGTCGTCGAGAGAGCGAGCGGCCGGGCGCGAATCGACGCGCGGATTCGCGACGAGCA